TTCATTATGCTATCATACAAATCAAGCATTAAGAAATTCCGATTACCAAATGCGTAAATTTTAAAACTCAGAATGAATCGATAGCATAATTTAACTTCAGTCACAGTTTGAGGGATTTCATGCATGTTAATTTCAACAAAGTGTTTTCTCTTTCTTCCTAAAGATGGCGACACCACGCATTTTCAACTTCTTTGACTCAAGCTTCAAAATCTCTTGTGTGTTTTTCAAAATGTATTAAATAGTTTTTTTTTTATTTTTTTTTATTTTCAGGAAGCATTTAGAATGTTTTTAATTAGTTTGCTATTTTTCCGGAGAGGACGACGTTAATTTTTAAAATCTTGTTTCGAAAAAACCTTTCGATAAAATTTTTAAAACCTTGTTTCGATATTTTTCAAATTTATTATTATTCTACATGTTAATTTTATCATCTTTATTGTTGTTTCGTACACAGANCACCCGTATGGATTGGCCAGCATACTCACCGGACTTGAATCCAATTGAGCATGTGTAGGATATGCTTGGCCGACGAATTGCATCCCGTCAACCCCCTCTCACCTGTCTACCGGACTTTCGGAGGGCATTGCTTGATGAGTGGTGTAATATTCCCCAAGATCAGATTGATAATTTGATACTCAGCATGCCTAGGCATTGTACGGCCTGTATTGCATCGTCCGGGAGACATATTCCGTATTAACCATCATACAAACCATGTTATACTGTTTTTTGTAAATATGTTCTTTTTTGAAATTTGCTCCAGGGAGTAAAAATCGCAATTTTTATTAATTATGTCAAACATATAGCATCTTTTTTGCTCTTTACCTTTTGTTTAATACATAGACTTTACAAATAAAACAAATTTGTTTGGTTTCTGTCTCTTTCTGTGCCTGAACTTCATTATTCTTAATTTATGGACATGAGTGTATGTGTAGTGGTGTGGAAATTAAATTTAAATGAATAATGTATTAAAAAATTATCTAAGCTACCACTATAATAAATTTTTGCTAAAAGAGAAGAAAGTTGGCAGCCGTGGGAATATGTATGTTTTAGATCCTAATTAAACATTAAGAGATGGCAGTCCCATTACTGCCAATTACTATGGCATGTTTTACCCATTCATACAAGAATACATTCTTGAAAGCAAAAGTAATTCATTAACACGTTGAATGCCACGCTAATTTTACATGGCTTGCCCGTCTGGCCACAACGGAAAATAATTACTAGGTAAATTTACAAATATTAGACAAATATTATTTACAAATATTATTTTGCTAGTTTTTAGAAGGTTTAGCATGACATATCTAGTAAAAGTGGTGAATAATATAAGCTTACGAATTGTTTAGAAATAGTGGTGGATAAAAATCTACTAAATTGAATTTATTAAACCAAGAATCACAATTAATAAACTGCCACTTTTAAATATTTATTCGCTGTCCGGAGCTAGTTGGCATCTCTGTATATATAAATAAAACTATTTTTGTGTGTTCTATATTGCATTAATTTCTCCAAACCATTTTAGTAACGATAATAATATAAAAAAATTTAAAATTCACTCGAATTATTACTCGAAAATTCTTGGCTTCGCCGGTCACCGGTGACCCCCATGACATTCAACGTGTAAATATCTTTATAAATTCGAATTCAATGACATTCATGTACATGTAAATAATCGAAACAAACATATAAAATTTTAAATAAGCTAATAGTTGTTCCTTTAATTTCAATAAAAGTTTTATAAAAACCTTATTTGCTTTAAAAATTTACGCTTTAGTTCACTACCTAAGGCAGGGCTGCCAACTTTCTACGGTTTTTGTAAACATTTATTCTAGTGGTGCCTATGTTAACAGATCAAAGTATGTATTATTTTTTATTCATTTAAACTTATTTTCCACACTAGTACATATAAATGATTTAAAAATTCATCTGCAACCTTATAGTTCTAGCTCTTTCGTGGTAAGGCTTTTAATGTGTTAGAAAAGTTACCAAATATATTGAAGTTTCGGCTTTTAAATGTTTACCACTCTATTAAATATTATCTAAAAAGCGTAGTACTAGTTGACAGACTTGCAATGGAAATGATGTTTTTCGCAAACACCTCTAATGTTTGACAGTACCGGGCGGCTTGAACTCCGGAATAAGGGAGAAACTGGTAGTTGAAGCATTTCATTTCTAGATTTTATAAAAAGTAATGTGAAAGCTTTTACCATTTTTACTTATAAATCATCTACCACTATTCATTTTTTTTCCAAATTAGAAATAGTCCTGTATATATGTTTTAATTGTTAATAAATTTTGGGAGACAGGGATGGTTCCTTCTCGAAAACGAAGAGGTTGGATTTTTCCAAAAATTCTGATCTGTACTATTGCTATTAATCCTTTTCACTCCGAGTACTTTTAAATGCTGTTTAATCTAATATCAGCACTATAGCATTTAAATTACACAATATAGTATTATTATGCAATTTTAAAATTTTTAAGTAATGTGGTTACTAATTATTAAGGTATAAATTTCTCAATTTTAAAGTGGTGACTATTGATGGTGCCTCAGTGGAGACATTCGAGTGCAAAGGGTTAAAATCCATTCCTAAAAAAATTATTTAAAAAGCTTAGCTGCCAGGGATATTTTTTAAAAAAATTGAGATTTTTCGTAGAAATATATCATTTTGCTTTTATTGACTTATAAATCAGTCATTTATTTTGCCCAAGTTCTTTAATTTTATTGAATGTAGATAGTAAATGATAGACCTCGGGTGTTTTTGGTGTGGAAGAAGATTCCAAATGCATTTGGAAACAAATAACATTGAAAAATGCTGACTTATGCTGGCAAACTAAAATATGTCTTGAACGCAAAGCAAGCAGATTTATAGATTTTGTCAATGTGAAGGTTGAGGATATAAGAAAATAAGACATGGCGTAAGCATTATTTCTTATTGTGTTCAACAAGAAAACAGAAGTAAAATCGAAAGTAACATGGAAAATGTAAGGTTAATACAGTGCTCAAAACAATTAAATGATATTGTGAGTCTCGTATAAAATAACGGTATAAGCAACATTATTTTTTGCGTAAAATAAAAGAAGAGAGTCACAAATGCAAATTTTTTTTCTTATTTTGAAACTTCGCAGTATGCAAATTTTGAGTTAGACGTTGAAGAGGAAGCTTTAGAGGTAGCGAATTTGATTTGGCTTTCATCTTAATGTGAGACAAAGCGGAAAAGAATGATTGACATTCAGTAAGCGCGTTGTTACAATGAGTGCGCTGTCTCAACGAAGTCATTTACATTAATAACCTCATTGACTCGATGCCTCAAAGATGTTAAACGTTACTGGCCGTTCTAGGGGAAACCATACCCCCCTTCTAAAAATGATTTTCTTGGCCACCTTTTGAAAACACCTTTTTCTATTTATTTTTCGCATTTGCACAAATTGTGCTTCTTTCCTTTTGTACCCAAATGCTTCAATAAAACGCATTTTTTTTCCTGCCAAACAAATGTCATTTTTATCACATATCGCCTACTACGTCTGTCGATAATGTATCAATCATTCTAACAATTCTCCAGGTTCCAAGATCAACCCACAACCTCAATATCCTTTAATTATTTTGAGCAGTGTATAATTTTCGGTAAATGTTTTTTTTTTTCCTGTTATGTTTTTACATTTTTATTATTGAACAGTTATGCATTTTATTATTCTAAATTCTAATCTTTACTATGAGTTTTGCATTTGAATTTTATTTAAAACCCAAACTTATGACTTGGGGGAAGGTGCAATATCAAAATTTGTCATTTTTTAAAAATTATTTGTATTATTTCAGAGATGATACTGCCCACCACGCATCTTTTTGGGATTGAGCCTCATTCTGAAAGATGTGCGTTTTGATAAGATTTTTTGTTTATGCCACGATTTTTTTTCTTTTGTTAAGTTTAATTTTGTTAAGTTTAATTTTAGTGTTTCTTTAATAAGTTTATGGAAATAAAATGACAGTTGTTACAAGTTTCTATCATTATATTGTAATAAAAAGGAAGTTGTTTTAATTTTTAAGAAAATATTTCAGTTAAAAAAACAAAAGATAAGGAGTTATTATTCAAGTTGCTTAATTCTTAGCACGATTTTTGCAAAATTAAATTCCTCATGTTAACTATGATGCCTTATTAGCATAAACTTTTTTACATGTGACATAGCTACCAACTTTTCACACATTTTTTTCAAAAATTTATTCCATTGGTAGCTAAGTTAATACTTTAATGCATTTTTTTAAAAAATTCTTTTAAATTTAGTTCCCACACCACTAGCACATAAATGATTCAAAAGTTCATATGCAACGCAACTTTGCTCCAGCTTTTTCGTAGTGAAACTTTTAAAATGTTGGCAAAATTACAAAAAATTCTCAAAGCTTCGGTTTTTAAATGTCTACAACTCCATAAAATATTTTACCAAAACCTAATAATTGGCAGGTCTGCTTGCATGCATCTTAAATAATTTTATTGCAATATCTTAAAACAAAATGTTGAAGCTAAAAATAGAAATTATTCCATTTATACATTATTCAACGACCTTAAATATTCTTGCTTAAAAATAGTGGTTGATAAAAATCTACTAAATTGAATTTATTAAACCAAGAATCACAATAATTAAGTAAATTTCGAATAAATTTTCTGCAATTCCATAAAAGAGTGTAAATTTTATAGTTCTATATCATGTTATACGCTGTCAGCCAGCTGTTTTTAACGGCCTATGTGAAAGGTCAGTGTCAGCCACCGGTGGTTGATGCAGCCTAAATGTAATTTCAGTGTCAGCCACCGGTGGTTGACGCTGCCTAAATGTAATTTCAGTGTCTGCCACCGGTGGTTGACGCCGCCTAAATGGAAAGTCCAGTGTCAGCCACCGATGGCTGACGCGGCGCTCAACGTGTTAACTCTTAAAGGGTTAAACATAAATTGGATTTCTCATCTATATTTTTGATAGGACTTACCAATCACTGACAGAGACTAAAATAAATAACGAAATTTTGTTTTGAAAAAAAAAACTTTATTTTGCAGAGTATACATCTACACTCCTTCGAAATGCAAACATGCATCCATAATACCATCTTAGGTTCTGAACGCATTCATTTTCAAGAAATAAAGAAAATAGGATTCTAAACAATAATATTTACAAGATATATAAGGATAAATATGCTATTTACATCATTGCAAAACATAAAAAAACCGAAAAACAATTTTATTAATATTATCTTCAACTCCGAGGAAATTTTATACTTGCAAGTATAAAGAAGATATTTTATACTTATACTCTTTAGACTTGTATATTCATTAACTACCCTTAAAGTATTACGAGTCCTTTCATCAGTTTTTAGAATTAACAGTGCTACCATTTAAATAATATTCAGATACACAGCAATAGAAGCATTTTCTTACAGTTGCGAAACTTGTCGCTTCAGATTATGATTTTTAAGAATACATTTCCATGAAATTAGTTAACTTTAGATTACAATGCATATAAATAGCTGCCAACTTTTCCGGTTAAATTGTAAGATTTTTCATTCCAATTTTTTTATTACAAAAAATGGAATGGTACATGAATGTTTAAATTAAACAGGCGCTTTCTCTGTAAAAAAGTTTTTGGTTAACATATCCTAACAGCTAAATAATTTAGATGTAAATATAAACTTTTCTATTCTGTCTAGATTTTTGATTGTATGCATACTTAGCTTCTCCTGGATAATTTTTTTACTGTAATTATAAATCCTTTTTATCACTTTTAATAAATTTGAATAAAATAAATGTTTCTTATTAATATTCTTTGTTCTACCGAAGTTAAATTGCCCTAAGGATACCAACTACATATACATGAAAGTGTTAAGCATTAAAATGAGCTACATTTTTTAATGTACAGGAGAGCGGGTTTGGTGAAAAATACCAAAATTTTTATGTGGGTATTGAGATGATTCTGTATATTGTGCTATTATTCAGAGAAAATATCGAAAACTTTTTAAGTCCCACCTAGGAACTGTTTGATATAAAACTATCGCCTCTGGAAAAATGTGGTTATCATTGCCCCAAGCCTTCATACTTACACATTTAACAATTTATACGATTTTTTGCGGAAGAATTTTCTTAATGATTGTAGAAAAATAATTTAAAGAAACTTTAAGTTAGATTGTGCTTCCTTATAATTATCAAGTATTTAATGTACATGTCTAAAAAATCTTGTATAATTTGAAGTGTGAAGGTGTTTTTTTTTAAAACTATTTTTTTAAAACTAGGAATCGAATTTTAAGTCAAACACTTTGCTACAGAAAAGCGAGATGCTACTGTAATGGTGTATTGTAGTATTTTCTGAATGTAACTACCAGAAATATTTTAAAAATATCAATAAAAACTAACTTTACTACCACTCTTTTAACTTACAAATATATTATGACATCCTCAGCTGAAACATAGAGCATGCACTCCAACTGAAGATTTTATTTCAATTGGCAGCAAAGTTTAAGCAGTAATATATTATGCTTAAGTTAATCAACTTGATTCAATTTGTTTTTTTATTATCAAATTTTCTCAGATTTTTAAAGTGAAAACAAGTTATAAAATTTAACATTTAAATTGCTATATTACATACTTCCATGATATCTAATTAGTTCTAAAATCTAGTTAAAATACTCAATAAGTATATAGTAATATTTTTAAAAACTAGCAAAATTTTTAAACACATTTGTTTACTATTGTAATTTCAGAACAACTTTAAAATTTGTGGGCGATTGTAACATCTAGATTGGCAATTCTGTATACAAAAGTAATTAAGACGTGTATATTATTAACAATATACCATCTTTATTTCAATACTTTGAAAATTTTTACAAGATTTTGATTGCATAAAAAATACCTCATCTAGTTCACTACCACTGCGAAATATATTCATCAAAAAAGGGTATAACATGAGGGGGATGAATGTGTAAGTTGGAAGCCATTTACCTTGCATCTTTTGTTAGTAAAATGTGTCTAACAACATACCACTATATCTATAAACAATTACCACTATTTTTGAGATCATTCAATTTTCCATCTAAGAAATTCGTGGTCTTTCAATTCGTACAGTTTGACTAGAAAAGTTTTCATAAATATGAATTCTAGGAAAGATACAACAGAAAAAGATACTAGAAATCACACAATATAATACTTAGAAGCAAGCTTTCAAACTAACAAAAAAATATGCAAATTCCTCAACCCGTGATATGCTCAACTATATACAAAAAGTATGAGAAATGCACTTTTAAATCTTCTCGCAGATTTATCATAATGGTTTATGCACAAGAATTATTATTTGTAACATCAATAGTTTATAATTGTCACTTGTTATAGCGAATTACAAAGCAACTTTTTTAGAAAGATCTGTCGATGGTGATTAAAATACACTTTTATTCAAAGCTCAGTAACTGATCCGATAAGTCACAAAATGTAAAACAACTTTTTTCGAAAGGTCCGTTGTTGATCAGATAATTAAATGCACTTTCATTCAATGTTCCGTAGCTGATCTAGTAATTCACAAAGTATAAAACAACTTTTTCGCAATGGTTTGTAAATGATTTGACTATTAAAAGGCACTATCATTCAAACTTCTGAAGCTGAACTGATAGTTCAAATAAAATTTTTTGCCAAGCTCTGAAGATTATAGACTAATTCAAAGAATCTTTGTAAATGTAAATTTCTGTGAATAGTCTGTTAAAAAAGACCATTTTTCACAAAAATTTGTTGTTTTTCCTGTAATTCAATGATCCTTTTAGCAAAGTTCAATGGATGCACAATAATTAAAATAAGTTTTTTTTAATAACACAATGTTATGGTTGTTTTAAATAAAATTTTTTGCCAAGCTCTGAAGATAATAGTCTAATTCAAAGAATTTTTTATTTAAATTTCTGTAAATAGTCTGATAAAAAGAACACTTTTCACAAAAATTTGTTGTTGATCCTGTAATTCAATGATCATTTTAACAAAGTTCAGTCGATGATACAATAATTAAAAAAAGTTTTTTTTTTATATAACACGATGTTACGGTTGTTTAATCAGTGCCATTTTAGATACCTAAAATAAACGTGATCGTTTGCAAAATATTACGATGACGATTACTTACAATTTAAATTTTATATAAAAAGTATTAGTTACTTGAGAACTTGCAAGTACATAGTTTTTCATTAACAACATTCTCTTATCGCTTTGTTTTATTTCTAGATGAGAACATTTTCCAGATGGAGGAAGATTTCTTTTCAGAATCTTGGTGTTTAGAATCATCCACTAAGCCTTTAGTTTCGCTGTCACGGTGCTTTACAGCTGCTCTCCAAGGCTTCACGTCTTGCACGTCTTCATCGTCATAATCTGTATCCGTTAGGGCCTCATGTGTTGGACTGGAATGACCAGAATCTCTATCTTCGATGCTAATTTTAAGAAGATCTAGAACATTTTGTTCAGACGATTTCATTTTTTGTTGGCTTGGTGTCGATGGCACTTTGTGATCATTCTGGTGATTTTCCTGTTTATAGTCATCTGGTTCGAATATATCAGGGTTGTCCAAAAATGCTTGAGCCAAGTTGCGACTGATCTGTTTTCGAATGGTCTTTTTCATGGACAAGTGACGTTCTAAGTGTCTCATGTCTCTCTCTGTTAAGGTCTTGCTGGTGTAAGTATTGTAATTCCCATTCCTGTTGCCATTTTTACGAGGATGTTCATCGCTTGATTTAAGATTTTCTTTTCCAAGATCCGAACTATTCTTCTTTGGCGAACTAGTACTTTTATGGTTTTCATTTTTATCGTAATAATCAATATTTGGTTCTTTGTTGCGACGTCTACTTCTCGGGGACTTTTCATACTGACACAGATCCTGAGTGTCACTTGTTGATTTTTTTCTTGCTGAGGTGTTGGTAAAGATGCTTTTGATGTGAGGAATACTTCTTTCCATGATTGAGTTACCAAACTATAAAGAAAAAGAATTTATATTAGTATAGCTTTATATATATATATAAAAAACACATACACACACAAAACCATTGCATTAAAATTAAGATTAGAAAGGTTATGGTAGTTAAGTTTAAAATTATCAGAGGAATAAAAGCATAAAAGCGTTTCCATTCGAAGAAGTAAAAGATATATATATATATCTTTTACTTCTTCGATATAAGATTTTGGGATATATATAAGATTTTAGGAAAGCTTAAATTATTTAATATTATATTTTTTAGTGATTCGCTTAAACCAAGTTTAAAATTTTAACCCCAGAATTTTCGGATCAATTTATATTTACCATAAGTCAAAAAAAAAACTTTCAGGTTAGCTACAATCACAATAAAATACAATTTTTTAATCAATATAAGTACTATTTTTAAATTTAGGTAAGTTTTCATGAAATGAAACTACAAATGTAAGAAGTGTTTGTCGCAAAAAATAACCCAAATGAAATTTAAAAAAAAAAAAAAAAAAAAAAAAAAAAAAAAAAAAAAAATAANAAAATTAAAAAAAAAAAAAAAAAAAAAAAAAAACTCGATCTTTTCGAACAGTTATGTAATAATTATGCATTTTTTACTTTTTTTTTTGTTTCAAATAGTACTGTCGAACTTAATTTTTCAAAATATATACTAGCAATCATATAATTACTGGATTAATCGATGTTAAAAATTTTTCGTAACAATATTGAAAATGGATCCCCCTGACATTTTGCATTTGGTCTTTGGTTAACATATATTTTTTAATATGAATGAATATATGACTCTTTGCATAATTTGTACTTCATTGGACTTGGAATATCGAACTATAACAATCCATTTTATATAATTAAATTTTCTAATTATGTGTTATTTCTATTATTTTTTTCCAAACACATCTCATTTGCATCATTCTCCAAAGTAAAAAAAAAATACTTTTATATAAACAAAACGGTTTTTTTTAAATTTAATGTGCCTCTATGTCTGATCAATTAGAAATTGTCCCAAGCTTCAATTGTTAGACGAACATGTTACTGACGTTCTGTTTATCAATTTTCAAAAGCAATCTCACATCAAAAACAGAAATAGTATTTTTCAATCGCCAATTTTACTTCCGCTTTGCATATTAATCAGCCATTGAATAACCTGATTAATATTCGCATCACTTCTGATATATCTCTACACTGAAATATATTTCATTCGATTCGGACTCAGGCATCAGGGCATCGCGATTCGAACAATATGGTCAAGCACTGAACGAGAACGAACTATATCTTGGCGTCGTCCACCCCCTCAACTTGACGTTCTTTCCTATTGACCAATCTGACCGCTATCATCTTCAAAATATTCAGGGATGTGCAGTATCGAGCTCAGATTGCTTAAGCATGCAGAAGGTCAATTTTTGAAAAGGTTGCTCTTTTAATGTATATTATTATTTTCATTCTCCCGCTATAGGCAACCGGTTTCTCAGGGCAATGTCTTTAAATCGACACGCACTGTTAAATATTCCTCTTCTTCTCTTTAATTATTTCGCCTCCTTTTAATCTTGAATAGTCTGAGAGAGAGTACCCTGAAATGCTTTAATTTATTTCTAAGAAAATGTTTACGTATCGTCTGCTCAGCGACAGAGAAATTAAGCGATGAAGCTGCAGCCACTCCGAAATGAAATACCTTAGAACATGAAGTTAACCTGACATATTCAAATTTTGAAAATACATTTATTTTTTAGAATATTATATTTCTTTTTTTTTAAATCTAAATTTATTTTTTGCCGCAAATATATACACCCAAAAAATGCTTGACGTTAAGCAATTTTTTTATATTTTATTTTATTTTTTTATAATTTATTTTTATTCTACATAATTACAAGTCATTATATAGAATGCCTAGGAATTCTATGTAAAAAATAAAGCCCTACTGCAGCTCCCGCATGTCAACCAAGAAGGAATTTAAGGCTTGACAATTTCGAGGCCAATGGAATGAAGGTGCCAACGTGGCCTGTGTTGCGCATCAACCAGCTTTACCAGACCATACTAGACATACTGATATCAAATGATCTGAGCTGAGTGAGCTTCAAGTCACCATCGAGGATTGAACCCCGTTCCTTCACAATGACAGCTCAGTGCTTTAACCATTGTGCATGCATTTTACATAATGGCAAATGCACTTTATGTAAAGTGCAAATCATGCAAATTATAATACAATTTGTCCATCTTTCTACAGGTGTGCCATTCAATCGAAAGTTTAGACAAGGTGTGAAATATTAATCATCAATCAATCTAAAATAATCTATGTTATATGAAACACAAATATATTGTCACAAAACCATTTAAATTTATTTTCTTGCGTTGGCAACAAAAGACTGAAAGAAACTGAGCTATAAGTTGGACAGAAATTAAAGTCAAAGTTTATATAAAAAAGCACTTTTTGCTCTATATATTTATTTTAATTAAGCTTATTAATGTACTCTGGAAACTAAATAAATTGGAACTATATATCAGTTTTAAGTTTTAATGACATTTAGCAGTTAACTCAGGATCTTTTATCACCAAAGATCGGCCAGGAAAGCGTTGCCCATTGATTCAACCAAAATGTTTTCAACTTTGGAATACTATCTCCATTTTTACCTGCTTTTTAATCATGTTTTTTTTATTATCATTTTTTTTATTTTCCTTACGAGATTTAGGAAATGTGGTATTTAGGAAAATTCTATGAATTATTTTCGAAAATTCTGTGAATCAGTAGTTACAAGTTGCATTGATATGAATAAAAACCAAATCGTAATAAATAAATTGAATAGAATGTTTATAAATCAAAGGCTTCACGGGATGATGCATATTTTTAAAACTTCATCACCATTTTTTAATTAATTCTGCACTCAGCAAAAACATGACATCCCTGAGAAATTATAGCCAGTGTATGTCAAAAAAATTTGACTAGGTATCAAAGCCAATTTTTCATTAATAAAAATCCAGTAAAAATGTATACCATAATTGTATGAATAATTTTTTAAGCGTCACACGGAATTATATTATATACGTTATAAATAAAACATGTGGGTATTAAGTTTGTTTATTCTATATCTTTCTATTTCGTATAATAAACAGGAATAAAAATTATTTGTTTTGTTGAAATTTGAATGTTAACACTTCGACGCAGAATTGTTGTTAAACATATTTTTCGTACTTTTTTCATTTTCATTATTTTGTATTAATTTAACTCAAAAAAAAAAAAATGAAAAATGTTATCGTACATCATGAAACACCGGTATCTTTGTCTGCGTTAGGTAAACTCTTGTCAGCACAAAATTTTATCAAATGTGCTATTATTTGCAGTTATTTAGATTTGAGCGAAACAATTATTCATCATTAAAATTTCTTTAATTTAGAAAATTATTAAAAATAAAAACAAATTATTTACAAACGCAACTATTGATAAAATTTAGAATTCGAATAACTTTTTTTTCTAACTACTCTTCTTTTGGATTTTATATTTTAGTTTATATATAATTGCAATAATCAAACATAATTTTTAGTAATTATTAGATTGTTTTTTATGGAAAAAAATTTAGCAAAATATATTTTTTCTTGTAATTAAAATGCCAGAAAAAAATATTTCGAAGGAACACCTGGTGTTCCATCTGCTCTAAAAGGTTTATAGAAATAGGGGAATAGTTAATAGAAGGGGTAATCGAAATCTTTTTTTTTATGTTAGATCTAGTTTTCATGATAATTTTTTCTTTAATGAAAAAGACTAGTTTTTAAAGGAAATCGCAAGAATTTACTAGATTGTGTTGAAACAAATGTTGTAAAATTTTAAAATTTTAGAAATTTATATGTAACTAAAAATAAATCGAAATGTGATTCTAGATTGTAAGACTGGAAGACGTTAAACTAATAAAAAGAATTTAAATAGCAATATATATTCTTGTAATTTTTGCCTTTTGGAAATTTATCGTTGCAATTTTCTAGGAAGTTACAAAGCTTGTTTAATTATATCAAATGCCTAAACGAAGGGAATATGATTGTTTAAAAAAATTAACAGTCATTTTAGATAACTTTTTATAAAATGTTAAGTTTCACGACATACGTTAACGAGGTATACGTACATTTTCGTGAATTTTATGTTCTTTATAAAACCTATCGTTGTAATTATTCTTGAAAATAAAAATAACGCAATTAATTCTTTAAAACGTTTTAATCTTTAATGATGAAATAAGTAGCTAAAAATAAACTGTCCTTCTAGAATACTGATTATAAAATTGCTTTGCAAATGTAAAAAGGTTTTAAAGTGAGCGAGGTACATAATTTCTCAATTTTTGTTTCTAATTTCAAACCCATCTCTTCAATTATTGATCAATTTACAATATACTGTTATACTCTAAAATTTCAAGATACTGACGTGAACTATCCTCAGTGGTAGACGGATCATGGATTAGAGTCCCCGCGCCATCGGGCTAACTGCGGGAGGTTCTGCGGGTGAACTAACCCGCAAAATCAAGAAGTCCTTCACAATGGCAAATTTCTCCTAATGCTTAATCCAGGAGTTCTATTGTCTTCTGGATTGGGTTTAAAATTACAAGGTTACGTAGTTGAACATTAGCAGTCGTAGACTCGAAATTGGGTCGACTGTTCAACGACGGTTATAAAAAAAAATAATTTCAAGACAAATTAAAAGATTCAAACTCATATACTAGAAACTTTCTCTTCTTTTCGTGAAGTTAAAATTAAAAGACACTAACTTGAAATTTGACCAACATTTCGCGAAGTTAAAACTAAAAGGCACTAACTTGAGACCAACATTTCGCGAAGTTAAAACTAAAAGACACTAACTTGAGACCAACATTTCGCTAAGTTAAAACTAAAAGACACTAACTTGAGACCAACATTTCGGGAAGTTAAAACTAAAAGACACTGACTTGAGACCAACATTTCGCGAAGTTAAAACTAAAAGACACTAGCTTGAGACCAACATTTCGCGAAGTTAAAACTAAAAG